AAACTGTTTCAGACAGGAAGCAGAGAGGTAGTTTAATAAAGAAAAGGGATCAGGGTCAAGTAATGTTTTTTCCAGGGTGGAGGGCATACCTGCACACAGCACAGCCTGTGAGGAGACTCAACAAGGGAAGGGTAAAGCTCCATGCACCACAGTAAGAAATAAGTGCAGACCTTAGAATCCGGGCAACCTAACCTCTCCCCATACACCAGAGGTCAGGAGACTGAGAACAGCGGTGTTGCTGGGGTGAAGGAACACACTTAGGATGATGCTCTCAGTTCTAGTAGTAAAACTGGGACCTTACTCATCTGCTGACCGTGAGAGAGGGATCAGGCGTCACCAAGGCCCTGGACCAGTGTTTATTGAGCAGGCTTGATGAGATGGAACCAGTTGTACTGACAGAAACCATCTACCGGGGCTGGTGCTGTGGATAAAGCTGCCTTCTGCAACGCCGTCATCCCACTGGGGCACGGGTTTGAGTCCATTGTTCCACTTCTGATCCAGCTCCCTGCTAATGGCAGGGAAAAGCAGCAGATGGCTCAAGTGCTTGGGCCCCTACTACCCATATGGGAGATCTGGAAGATGCTTCAGGCTCCCGGCTTCAGCCCGGTCCAGTCCCGACCACTGTGGCCACCTGGGGAGTGAACCAGGGGATGGACAATCTCGCTATTTCGCAGTCTCTCCCTCTCTCTCTCTAACTCTGATTTTTAAATAAATAAATAAATAAATAATCTTAGAAAAGAATCCATCAACTGAATGCAAACAGTACTGGATTTTTTTCAAACAGTTAAGGCTGAGAATTTTATGTCATTCTTAGACCATTCTAAAATGTCTGGAATTAAGTTTGATGGCACTTGTAGCCTGGTTCTGAAAAATACCTAAGTGTAAAGGATAAATACAAAAAGGTTGTATGCATAATTGTTATGAGAATGAAAACTGTTTTCTCAGAATTTTTCTTTAATCAATTCTAATTGCAGAATTCCTGGTGAATCTTCATTCAACAATTAGGAATTTGGGGCAAGGGCTCTTGTATAAAATATTTATTAGAGAGGGCATCTGGGTTTGGGCAAGAATTTTTTGAATCCAATGACAAAATACAGCCAATAAAAGTTGTTTCAAATTTCTTCAGAAATATTTTCAAGAAGTTATTTACTAAAAACAGGACTCTCTATTTTTTCCTGAGATGTTAAAAATACTCCATTTGTAACACTGATAACATAGGGTTTAAAAGAACAGTCCAGAAGCATTTTAATTTCTGATGTTACTGAAAAGTCTGTATTTTTTTCTATTTAGGTAAAGGCCAAAACATTTAAGGTCAGAATTGGATAAGAAGTTTATGATAATGATTTGGAAAAATTAATAGCATCAAAATGTCCATACTATCCGAAGCAATTTACAGATTCAATGTGATCCCAATCAAAATACCAAGATTTCTTTCAGTTCCAGAATAAAATGACCTTAAAATTCATATGGAAACACAAGAAACTCTGAATAGCTAAAGCAATCTTAAACAACAAAAACAAAGCTGGAGACATCACAATACCAGATCTGAAGACGTACTACAGGGCAGTTATAATCAAAACACTGGGACAAAAATTGACACGTGGACCAATGGAACAGAGTAGAGACCACAGAAATTAATCCACACATATATAGCCAAGTAATCTTGGACAAATGAGCTAAAACCACTTCCTGGAGAAAGGACAGTCTCTTCAACAAGTGGTGTCAGGAAAACTGGATCTCTGTATGTAGAAGTATGAAATAAGATCCCTATCCCACCCCCTACACAAAAATTGACTCAGAATGGATCAAGGGTCTAAATCTAAGACTTGAAACTATCAAATTATTAGAGGAAAACCTAGGGGAAAACACTGAAAGACTCTGGCATAGGCACGGACTTTTTAGGAAAAAAACCCACAAGCACAGGCAATAAAAGCAAAAATAGACAAATTAGATTACATCAAGCCAAGAACCATCTGCAAAGCAAAGGAAACACTCAACGAAGTGAAGAGGCAACAGACAGAATGGGAGAAAATATTTGCAAACTATGCATCTGATAAAGGATTAATATCCAGAATACACAGGGAGCTCAAGAAACTCAACAACAAAATAAACAATCCAGTTTAGAAATGGGATAAGGATATGAACAAATATTTTTCAAACAATGAAACACAAAGGCCAACACATGGAAAGGTGCTCAGGGTCACTAGCTATCAGGGAAACTCAAACAAAAACCACAATGAGGGGCCACCCCATTGGTTAGAGTGGCTATTATCAAAAAAAAAAAAAAAAAAGAAAAGAAATTGCTGGCAAGGATGTGGAGAAAAAAGTACTGTAATACACTGTTGGTGGGAATGTAAACTAGTATACTCATTATGGAAGACAGTGTAGAGATTCCTCAGAAATCTAAAAAGAGACCTACCATATGACCCTGCCATCCCACTCCTGGGAATCTTCCTAAGGGAAATGAAATCAGCATATGAAAGAGTTAACTCTACCCCCATGTTTATAGCAGTTCAATTCACAATAGCTACAATATGGAATCAACTCAGAAGTCCATCAACTGATGACTAGATTAAAAAACCATGGCAAATATACATGATGGAATACTCAGCCATAAAAAAAATCAGAAGGAAATCCTATATTTTGAAACAATATGATTGCAATTGGAGACCATTATGCTTACTGAAATAAGCCAGTCCCCAAAAGACAAAAATCATGTTTTCTCTGATTTGTGGTAACTAATATATAAAGTAGAAAAAAATGTAATATACATGAGCAAAACTGACATTTTGGATTTGCTTATAGTTTATAGTGCTTGTCTATACTCCTGAGGAGCAGCTTTTCTACTTAGTACTTGTTTAGTTCTTTATTTAGTGGAGGATCAAGCTTGTGATTATAAAGTAAACTGAAAGTGTGTCACTGAAAAAATTAAAAGAAAAAAGAAAGAGCAAAGTTGGGAGAGTAGGAACCAGCGGGGAGGGAAGTGTGGGAAGCATCATTAACTTCTTAAAATTGCAGATATGACATACATGAAATTTGTTCCTTTCAGGTAAATAAAAGTTTATGAATTACTGACTTAGCCCTTTCTTAAATAATGTGGACTGCCTCCATATAACAGTTATAAACCTTTAATGTTAAGTGATCATTTCCTTTACGTAGACCAAAAGAAAGAACTTACATTAAAACATATTCTTACTTGGTGATTACTTTATTACCATATATACTGTTATATACAATGTTGATAATAAAGAGACTATAAATCATATTTTAAACAACAATCTATGCATGGCATATGTAAGCAGTAACATTTTTGAAGGAAAAGAGCAAAGCCATGAAAACATTTATCTACAGTTTAGTAATACTGAACACACGAGTCCGTGCATAGCTCTGAGGGCTGGCTTTGTAACACACTGGAAAGCTGGCGAATCTCCCAGGTTGAGGAAGAGTCCACACTAAACATATCACACACACCCTTAGACATGCACGTCACCTGCAAGCAAAGCCCTCTGCAGTGGGCCACAAAGCCTTCTTGGTTTGGCACTTAGCAATACAGACAAAGGTATATTTGGTTTAACATGATTTTATTATTCTGAGATAAATTTTACTTAAGTAGGTAAAAATATACAATATTGCTTTAAAAACTTTTAGTTTTAGAAGTGTATAATGGTCATCAGAGTCACAATTTTAAAAGCCTTATGTTTTCCACTGCACAATGCGTCTGCTACCATGTGGAAAGACCAACACAAGTGGCTATGCAAAGGCTCTTAATGACAGGTTTAAATGCAGAAAGAGAATAGTAATCACAACCATGGGTCGAAATCCCTAGTGACACCTCAAGCTGGAAACAAATTAGGAAATGCTTTAGGCAGATTTCTTTTTCAACACTTACACTGAGTCTACAGATTCAGATTTTGACTAAAATTGCATGGAACTGAGAGATTTTTCTCTGAAGCCACTTTTATGTACATTAAATTTACTTATAAATGAAAAATGTTATAGTTGAACACTGCATCTCAGTTTGGGATTCCATCAGTTTTTAAGTAATCTATGTAATGTGTGTCTAAGTCCTTTGGATGCCTTTATTTAAGTAAAAAATGACAGATGGTGACATATTTTCTTTTTAATAATTTGAGATCAGAAAAGTTGCTAGAGTGCGGAATCTATTTGTAATAAAGGTCTTTATATCATAAAGACATAACGTTTGAAGGTAAAAAACTACGTGGTTGTCTTTTTCTTAATAGTAACTTAAAAGCAGTTTAGTTCATTATATGATTTCTTAAAAAAGACACACTGATAAAATGCGTGAAACTAAAACAAATTATTTATGTGCCTATATAAGGTTTGGCCCTATTTTTAAATGAACGATTGGAAATATTTTACAACTAATTTTGTTCATTTTATCTGTACAATGCACCATCCATTTCACTCATTACAATACTTTGCATCAAACATTGCTATCTTCAATCTTAACATTCCTCAAATGAGGAAAAACAAAGTTTCCACTGTTTTAAGAAGTGAAATTTATAAAGTCAACATAACATTTAATGACTACAGATCTAAAACAGTTTTCAAAGATAATTTAAACACATTGAAATGAGTGCTTTGCTTAATTTAATTACAAACTAACATGTGCTGCTTCTTTTCAACATAATTTTATAATACACATGGTTGCATTTAACAGCAGACTTTTTACACTGCAACATACAACCACCATCATGGAGATTTCAAGAAAGGCATACAGCGGAGTGCGTATCTCTTTTTCTGAAATCATCCTTGACATTAAGTGCTACAGCTTTAAACTTTATATAGATAAGAAATAACTTGGGAAGATGTTTTACTTTCAAATGTTTCCAACATAAGGCACATAGCAACAGTTACAGTCTAGAAGCAACTAGGTTATATAATAAATAATTATCTTTTCAATCATTATTTGTCCTTTACCTGAAAAAAGTGGGTGAGTAGTGCAGTTAAAATAGGTTTGAATTAATAAAAACAACTGGATTTAGGAAATACAAATATATCTGGGTGCAGAGAGAATGCTAGTAATTTAAACAAGAAAAAGACTATTTTATATAAAATATACATCCTACAGTGTTACAGGTAGAAAGAAATGTGAGGCACTTAGAGTAACAGTGAAAGAGGAGAGCACTGAGATTATTTTCTTCTTATAAAAGCACCAAACCACTTATTTTAACATCTGACACAAAAGCAGAGGCTAAAATGATAGAGAAATGGGTTTATTTTGTAACTTTGTATTTGGTGTACTAACAATAAAGAAGATGGAAACGTCAAAGTTTTTCATTGTTATCCTGAAAGGATAATTCAAAGAAAGTTTTCAAATTTAAGTCTTTAAATCCCCTGAACAAGTCTGCATGCTTGTGGTGCTCAGAGCCATGTAACATATAGATGGTATCTCACGATTCCATGGTTGCACACATTCCATCTGAATGACTATAGCATATGAAATGCCAGCATTATTTCTAAGACTCCTTTTCTGAAAACAGAAATTAAAACTCGGCTTAGAGTAACGGTGCATGCGCCGAAGCCTCCAGGTGAACCTGCTGTCCAGCACTGACGGTTTAATACTCTGTAATCCTTCACAAGTGACTTCAGTGCAGAAAACCAAGGTGAACGCTGGGCTTGGAATCACAGCAGTCGGCCGGACGCCAGGTCAGGGAAGGGTCTGGCTTCGGACGGATGGTGCAGCGGCGGGAGGTGTGTGCTGGCCACAGTGTTATTTATGTCATGCAGGTCAGCTGGGTATGTCTCATTTAACATGCCCCCGTTCGGAAACTGAAGACGAAAATAGCAATGAAGTTTATTTGAATAATCCTCCAGATATTTTAAGCCATTAGAAAACATAGTGAGATGTGTTGCAAAGATCTTAGTTCTGCATATTGTTAAACTTCACATTGGTTTACTACCAAACTTTAACTCTTCCATTTGGTGACGACATCCTGATTACATATTATCCATTACATGCACTTATAAACTTTTGGTTTTTCTGCTAGTGTAACAAGACATTTTGAGCTTGGTACAGGTGAGTGACACAACTGCCTCTTTTCAGACTGCCTTTGTGTCGGTCAGGAAAGGACAGCTCCACGAGAGCCACTCCTGAGTCACAAACACGCTTGGCCACAGGTGGGTTTGCTTTGAGCAGACTGCTCCCAGTCAAGTGCTTGGCTCAGTGACCTTGCCTGCAGATGACCTGGGCTTTTCCAACAAGGCCAGTTCTGAGTTTCTAAAGGTTGATTGGCATTTCTAAAATAGTATACCATGAGTATGATTTCTTTAATTTCTTATCTATAAGAACTGCCAATCAATGAATACTACTAAAAGCATCATTCTACTTTGAGTCCAATTAACAAAAGAAAATATTCGTTTTTGTTTTCCTACACTGAAATTAGCTTGGTTTCTATAATGCTATTGGGAAGGGAAGGGAAGGGAAGGGCAGGGCAGGGGAAGAAGGGGAAGAAGGGGAAGAAGAAAAAGAAAAGAAAAGAGAAAATAAAAGAAAAGGCAAAGAGAAATAGAAATTAAAGGAAGGAAGGAAAGAGGGAGGGAGGGAGGGAGGGAGGCAGGGAGGGAGGACAAACAGCCTGGAAATACATAGTTCTGTAGAATGTTACAGATTACAGAGCCTTCACATTTTTGTATATGATACCAAAAGTTGTGAAAACTTTCAAGCAGATTGAATTGCAGCTTTGTCAAGTACAAGGTAATATTATTTCCCCAGGTAATAGCGGGTTTTAAATGAATTTTTCTCATCCCATATAACAGAAGAAAAGCAAGACAGTCTCTTTAAATATATTGTATGGGGCAGTGCTGTCCATTAGAAATATAATGTGAGGCCCAAAACTTCAATTTTTCAAATAATCACATAAAATAGTAATAAAAAATAGTAATAAAAAATAAAAATAAAAAATAAAAAAGAAGTTAATTTTAATGTTTTACTTAAGCTAATATATCAAACTTTATCATTTCAACATGAAATCAACATTCTGCACTGCTTTTACAAGCCAAATCTCCAAAACGGGGTGTTTACTTCATGGTGACAGCACATCTCCTTTCAGACTAGCCACACTTCAAGTGCCCAACAGACACAGGTAACAAGTGGCACCATGGAGGAAAATGCATGCTGCAGAATTAGTATTTTGTTATTCACAGAAAAGCATAAAAAGCAGTGTGTGTGTGGGGGGGGGGGGGAACTCAAGTGATGCTGACGCACTATTTAAAATGTAATTTCACATCACTCACTTCCGCACAATTCATCTTACTCAAGAATGAAATATGATTAGGTCACAACAACGTTGTCAGACAGACTGTAATTGACTATTAAATTTTAATATAATCAAAGGATGATCAGAACGCATCATCATTTTCTATTAACAAAGCTCATATTCAATCAGACAAACCAAATGCATGACAGAAAGCCAGAAAAAAAAATCAGGGATAAAGATTCAAGTCACATTTGCAAATTCCTATAATACACAGAGGTCAGTGAACTTAACTGTAGTCAAGATATTCTTTGAAGCTAAACAAATATGTTTTAAAATGAACTGTGTATTTTCTGATAAAGTACAAGTGCAAACAATATATTCCCCGGTGGCCACAGAAAGCAGCTGGGATCATTATGTTACATTATCTTTTTTTTTTTTTAATGATCACTTCTGGATTTAAAGTGTACTTGCTGCTAGCAGAGTTCTGAGGACATATTTAAACAATGCAAATACAGTATCAAGCCAGCCAGCAGGGTTACACCATTGAAGAGTGAAATTTTCAAGTCTGAGATCTTAAAAAGCTCTATGTTTTGAAACACTCAAGACAAATTCTCTATTTAAACCCATTTTTAACTAATTTTACCAAGTAATTTAGGACACATTCATTTTGCATTAGCCCTTGCCGTCTTTCTTTCAAGATTCAGGTAAATAGCATGTTTTAGAAAAAGTACAGGCTTATAAAAATCGTAGTCACACATATAATTAGAAACCCTATCTCCATGAACACTACTGAAAATAGATGAAAATCGGCCACTGAGATGAAATATTTATAACTCAGGTCTATTTATTTACAAGGTAAGAAGAATCACGAGAGGGTTTATTGGGTTCAAAATCACTCACCTTGTTTAAAAATGCCTCTGGGCCTGGCACTGGTGGCTCGCACTGCATCTGACCCATGAGGGTGTGTGCAGGTCCCGGCTGGCACTGATACATCGACACGGCCCCAGCATAACACGTCTGAGGAGCCACCATGGCTGACTGTGGGTTCCCTCCATGTGTCTGTCTGTCAGGAACTTGTAAACAAGTGACAAAATCTTCTAGATTAGAGGTACTAGGGTATGGAGATGAGTCAAAATTCCCCATAGCGAAATCCAACTGTGTACACCTGGAATGCTGTGGTGCTACAGTCTGATTACAAGGAGTAAAGTTCTGTGTATAAGGCATCGTATTCATCGCCGCCGTGTAGGGAAACGCTTGATCAGCCGTGTGGAAGTCCGTGAAGACGCTGTATGGCTGGAGGTCTTGCTGAGGCTCACTGAAAGGCACGGGCTGGTTAGCGCTCCAGTTGGCAAACATGCTGTTAACTTGCATGTGCTCCATCTTCTGACACAGCTGTTGCTGCGGCTCCACTGTTGCCTGCTCCGAGCGGCACGGAGGCTGCTGCGGCGGTCCGAGCTGCAGGCGTTCCTGCACCATACAGCTGGAGTTCAGTGCTGTGGCTGGCTGAGGCTGGTAACCTGGACTCCCGAAGGGGGACTTGTTTAAAGAATCCTGGACATAAGTCAGGATTTCATCTGTTATGTCAATGTCTCTGAAGTCAACCTCACCAGAAAAGTCAGCCCCGAAAAACTCCTCATTCTGCATGTTTTTGATATCTTCAAAATCTACACCGAGGTTTTTCATAATGTTGTACAAGTCACAGTTTTTATTATCTGGAAAGAGCACCGTCTGATCTCCGGAGAACGCTGGGCTCACTTCCTGAGACTGACCGATCTGCTCGTGTTTGAGGACACTGCCACCGGCCACCGACGCAACGTTCTCTGGCCAGTTACTGCACTCATTCAGAGACTCAGTAAAAAAGTTTCTTTCAAAAGGTGCGTTACTCGAAGGAGGATAGAGGTAAATAGACTCATCCTGCTGCATCAGGGCACTCAGGAGGGAACTGGGATGGACAGAATCCTTACTTGGAGTTGGTTTGGTGGCAGAGTCCTTCCCACAAGTGCCACTTTTAGGCCTTATTGGCAGGGGGTCCATGATGGGCGGGAAGGGGCTGGTCATCTCGTACAACACAGCTTCTCCAGTGGTGAACATAAAAGGCAACTTCGTGTTTCGTTTTAGTAAATGCTCTCTTCCTTCTTCATCTCTAAAATTGGGTACAAGAAAGTCTGTATATGTTAGCAGAAGTCCATCACAAATATCTTAAAATATTAAAAAAAAAAGAGCAAGAAAAATACGCTGCAAGTGAGTTGACAACATAGAAGACAGATTTTATTTTGCCCCAAATCATTCTCATGGTTAGTGCTAGAAAACTTTTTTTAGACAAACACATTTAAATGATTTAGGGGAGGGCACGTGGTGCAGTGGGTAAGAGGCAACATAGGGCACCCATATCCCACTTGCATGCCTGGGTGCAAGTCCCTACTCCACAGCTCTCCCCTCTCAATTCCACCTCCTGCACCTCCAAGAGGCAGCAGACCATGGCTTTAAGGACTTGGGTTCCTGACACCCATGTTGGAGACTTGGATGGAATTTCCAGCTCCTAGCCTCTGTGTGGCCCAGTCTTGGCTGTTGAAGGCATCTGGGGATTGAACTAGTGAAAAGAAGATCTCTCTTCCTCTCTATTTATCTCTGTCTCTCTACCTTTCAAATCCATAAAAATAAGTAAATAAAATTTTTAAAATGATTTAGAGCTTTTTTCCCCCTCAAAACTTGGTATAGTAGGTGATTTCAAGCTCAGGTGATATTCTCCAGAGAAATAAATTTGTATGGAATAAAAATTAAATATAAAAACAAATGATAAGGATTTAGGTTAAATTTATTCCTACATACTTTATTTTTTGTGGCTATTTTGAATGGGATCCCTTTCTTCATCTGTCTCTCAGGGAGTTCATCATTAGCATAAAGAAAAGGAATCTGAGTAGAAGAGCCATGTCTAAGAAGAACACTTCCTGAGGAGCTCACAGGAGAAGACTGGTGTGACTGGCAGTGTGTCAGCTGAAACCCTGCAGCCTTGCAAAAGATGTCATAAACCAAATTAAGGCATGGGGAAAACATCTGGGACATATGTGTATATTTATAATTTATAATTAGATATATGTATATATTTAAATTTCATATCCATAGTAGATATGAACAGAGCTCCAGTAGGTCTAAGAGAGAGCCAAAACACTCAACAGAAGACAAATTATACTAACTGGCAATTCATTAAAAAAAAAGATATATCATAAAGAGATAAAGAAATGCCCTGAATCATTAAGAAAATGAAAACAACTAACTTCTCTTAGGAATTGACAGAGCAACCATACACCACAAACCAATGCAGAATACTCACAATACAATTAACCAACTAGAGAGTGACATGGAAAAAACACCAAACTCCTTAACAACAGAACATACATTCTTGACCAGAGCACATGGGATATTTCATTAACACTGACTGTACGCTATGTCATAAAATAAGCCACCCTGAGTTTTAGAGGACCGAAATCCTTCTCAGAGAATGCTTCTGACATCATGGAATCATGCTAAATGTTAATTACTTAAAACAACCAGAAAAGTCCCCTAACTCTAAAACAGATAATACCATATTTAAGAAGCTTGTGAATAAAAAATAAATAAAAAAGAAATTTTGCCAATATTGTGAATGGTAAAAATAAGACACATCAAACAGGAGGACCTTGGTTAAAACTGTACTTAAAAGAAAATTTATATGTGTGTGCATATATTTATATGTCTAAATATATATTAAAATAGAAAAAGTTGGAAAAAATAGCCAACTGTAGCCAAGAAAGTGGAAGGTATGAAATAATGAGCAAATATAAAACACAAAGGTAAAATAGCAAAAATGAACAAACTACAAGTGGAACTGTAGAAGAGATGATGAGATCCCAGCAAGAGTGAGCAGGGGAAAGGGCACCGCTCTGTGCAGGTACACACACAGCCGTACACCTGCCTACCTCCACAGTACACACACACAGGTACATACATCACCAGGCTCATGGGTTGGAACACTCAGTATTACCAAGGAGTTCATTCTCTCTAGTGACCTATACTTTCAAGGAAATTCCATTCAAAGTCCCAACAGATTTTCTAATGGGAATTATCGTTGATTTCTAAAATACATATGGAAGCATAACAGGGGAAGAAGAGGCAAGGCAATCTTGAAGAACAAGGGCTAAGCAAACAAAATGAAGACATGCACTCAGATATCAAACCTGAAAATACAGTAATTAAGACAACGTGATGGTACAAAACAGCCAACTTCAAAAAAGTCCAGAAAACAGAACTGCTGCACAATTCCTTGATCAAAATCCTTTGCAGTGGAGTAAAGGACAGCCTTTTCATAAAGTGTCTTTTAAATAAATCTGACTGGCCAATTAGATATACATAAAAGGGGAAAAAAAGGAAAAACCAACCTTGCTCTCCTCTTAAGCCATATTCAAAAATTAGTTGGCCAGAGTGGGAGAAGATATTTGCACTGCAAACACTTGACAAAGGACTCACTTCCAGAGTGTGTAGAAATTCCTCCCAAATCCCTGCTGGGCTTGGTGAACATCGCGATCCCAACAAAGCATGGTAACTTTCCTACTTTGTTTTACAGATGGCACCAGCTTTTCACCTTGGAGTTTTCTTTGATTGTTCTCTTAGCCCTCCCTGTTTGGCTGCACTAAGTCTGCCAATCCCAACCACTCAATGGTCTCACCAAAGTCCTCTTCTTCCTGCACATACTCACATTAGTGTACTTCAGTTTTACCTGTCAGACTCAATTCTCTTAGAATGACTTTTGAGTTTTCACGTAAGAGGACCTGTGAACCAAATGTCATTACAATAAAAAATGAAAATAGGAAACATTCTGAGTCTTTGTGCTTACGTTAGAGGTCTTTGAGTTGCAATGATAAAATCTGGTCTTCCATTCTTATAAATAAAGCGTGCATTAGACTGGACCCAAGCCCATCGATTATCTTTTGTAAGAAGCCTGAAAACTGCTAGGCCACTTTCTCCAGTCTTAATCACTAAAAAAAAAAAAAAAAAAAAGAACAGAAAAAAGTTAAAAAATTAAATGATCAAACTCCTAATAAACATATTAAAGAACATCCCGGAAAGTCTCTCTGACATATTTCTGGATGCATCTATGACCAAAGAAGTTACTATCTTGACAACATTTTTCATTTTTTTAAAGATGTATTTATCTGTTTGAAAGGCAGAGTTATAGAGAGGCAGAAGCAGAGGCAGAGGCAGAGGCGGGGTGGGGGTCTTCTATCTGCTGGTTCACTCTCCAGATGGCCGCAATAGACGGAACTACAGCAATCTGAAGCTAGGAGCCCGGAACTTTTCGGGTCTCCAATGTGGGAGCAGGAGCCCAAGGACCGGAGCCATCTTCTACCTTTCCCAGGCCATAGCAGAGAGCTGGATAGGAAGTGGGGCAGGCAGGACTCAAACCGGCACCCATATGGGATGCCAGCACTGCAGGCAGTGGCTTTACCTGCTATGCTACAGCACCAGCCCCTATCTTGACAACTTTTAAATACAATATATTGAAAGAAATGAAAGCAGTTCTGCAGGTTTTTTTTCCTATTGCATACTAAAATTTATTATTTAAAATGTTGGAGGTAACACATGGAAGTAAAGATAAAAACTATTTTCATTTTAAAAATAGCATGTTCCTCTACAGCTCAGTACTTCACGATTTTAAAGCTTAAATCTATATTAATCTACCCTTATAAAGAATAATGACACTATTCAAAAAATCCCTGAGTAAAATTTCAATGACCAAAATGGTCACTTTTGTAGTAATTCACCTATTATATTCTTGTGTGGCAGCTGTAAGGCAGACAATGAATAAAGAGTGTCATTCTGAAGAAGTTTGTCCAAACAGTTTCATTCAACACACACTATGAGTGACGCCTTGGAACAGACATTAGAGTCCTGACATGTTTGTGGGGAACACCAACTTACTCCGTATGTGGGACTCGGCACAGTACAGCATATCAGCAGCATGGATGAACTGATACCCCGACCCTCTCATGCACAGCTCTGCCTCTGTGTAGCCCAAGACGATCTGTCCTCTGGTGAACAACAGGGTAAAAGAAGAAGAAATGAAAATCGAATACAAAAAAGTATCCAAAAATTCATTAATTATGTTGTTTTCTATATTATGTTTTGCTTGACCAAATTCAGAATTTCATATAACAAGGTGCAAAAAAATCAACCACAACTATCTAAACTGTTCTCTTTTGCTCAGTTTTTGCTTATTTTCTTCTCCTGAATACAACCATAAAATTTAGAAGAACTATCAAAGCAGTTTGTGTAGGCAAAACAAGACCTTGAATAAAAATCTAGAATGCTTATACTTCATCTTTTAGTGACGAGGATTTTCAAATTACATCTCAAATTCCCACATTAGAAAGCAGAAAAACATTGATCTGTTTTTATATGATATGAATGTTTACCATCAGATTCTATCACATAATGTTCTGAAAGCTACTAAATTTCTAGGGCTATAAATAGTATTTGTAAAATTTAAAATGTAAATTAAACCAATAATAACTGTAATCAGAATAATAAACCTTACTAATAGAAGTCCATCACCATCACCTTTTGTGGCAAGTGTTCTAAACAATTACAAAATAACAAAATAATTTGTGGGCCTGAGAAAATATCTTACTTTAAAAGGATGCACTGAAAGAACATGCAAGCAAATAGCTAATATAATAAACAATATTATAATCTACATTATATGCTTTATATGCTAAGGGAGACTTATTGAAATAAAATGTACTTTGATGAAATAAAAGTGAAAACTTTCACTTACTTAGCATCACAGCCAGTAGGTGTGAAGTCTAGTTTGTGTTTGGTTCTGAAGATGAAATTTTTGGTTCTGATTTCAAGGATGGATGGTGGTTGAAGGGGAGTAGCTATTGCAAACAAAGCCAGCTGGGGTGGAAGTAGTGATCCATCCTTCCCTTTTTTGTTCTGTCCATGAAGAAACTTCAGCCTCCCCTGGAAATTCATTGCCTTAAAAGCACACACACACACACACAAACATTCACTAAAATTGAAAGGCTGCATGGTGGCTGTTCTGGGGGTTCCTGATTAACTCCATAGAAGTTACTAAGACTGAGAACTGCTACTCTGATTCCTGTCTCCATAGGAAGTCCACTAAAATGATTCCAAAGCTTAGTGTGAGCAATGTCCTAAAGTGCCGAGAAGTGAACTTCTCTTTGCTTCCAATGGTCCTCACAGGACTACTGTAATCATTTTCTGAGCATTTTCCTCATCTCTTTTACTCAGCATAGCCCCTTGTATACTAGGCACTCAATATGCATTTCCCACTGAGTAAATGAACAGTGATGAAGTCATCACTTATGTATTAATTTTCAAGTTTACATGAACTATGTGGAACATGATATTTCCTACAAGAAAAAAAATACAGCTTTATTAAAACACTAAAATCAGTCATTATGAACTCATATAAAGAATACAGAGCTCTACTAGAACAAAAATAATTTTTTTAGGAAACAGAGGAAATGAAGACATTTTAAACATGCTCAATTTGTTTCACTAAAACAATATCAGCCAGATAAAGGGATGAGTCTGACCCCAATCTCAGAGTAGCACAAGGAAGAAAAGATCCTACTACATGCAGAAATTCATCCCAAGGATTCACAGTGTTGATCTTGAACATCAGTGCCAGGAAAACTACCATCAAGCACAATTCTAACTCTGAGTTGCCACAACTATCTTCAGAAATAAACAACAAAAATCATTGAGTGGAAATGCTGAATGTAAAATTTGGTTCTGCTTTAATTGCCTGAGAATTCATCCAAAGAATGGGCAGTCTGTGTTACAAGTTCTCCTGTACTCACTGGAGTGAGTGGGCCCAAGCACACAATCAAGAGAACAGGTACCTCTACTCAGAACACCCCACTTGAGCTCCTGGTGTCACCCCAGCAGGTGTTCAGCCTGTGCAATAAGACAGAGCATCTCCTATCACATGAAGACTCTGCAGTCATGAATATATAATCATCTTTCCAGACATGTAGAAAAGGTCACAATTTTTCCCAGCTAACAGGCCTTAAATTACAAAATAGCATACATTCTCCTATTAAAAGAAGGCTAGACAATGCTCTATTTTCATCCTAAAGAGTCCTAAAATTAGTCAAAATATAAGGTTCCATTTTATTTCAGTCTTTATTATGGCCCTAAAGGAAAGGATTTTCTGAATTTTGGGAGACACTCAAAATCTGAACTAACGATTTTATGAAGCGACTTGATTTTATAAAATCGATGGATTAAAAAAAAAAAAACAGAACTCGAATACAATCAAAGAAAGCTGGCTTCACTGGCCTTTTTTTGTTATATCCTCATAGTGAGAGTTAGTGTCCTAAGATTTTGCAGCTTACCAGGAAGCCTGATGAGTTATCCAGTAGGCACCTCAATCGGCATATGAAACACCTTTCCATGAAGGAAGAGTTTTCTGGAGGAAGCTGGTCTGGGTTATAATATACTGGCTGTGGAAGACCATGAGTTTCTGTAGAAATAAAAACAACACAAATATACCTTCCATTTTGCTTAAAATGCAGGCTAATTTCTGAAAAAAAAATCTATATCCTGAAAATTTTAAATAATTTTCAAATATGATCCAAAAAGACAAAAAATTTAGTTGTCTTCATAAGCACAGAACTTGACTTAGTTTCTGTCTTTATTGAGCCATCACTGTCATATTTTCTACCATCTTTTTGTTTGCTTAATACTTTCACAGGTTTCTGTACTTTTCTGGGAAAAGCCTTCTTATACTCGCACATGATAGTTTGCTTTCTGACACGCACTCCAGGATCAATCTTCTACAGTCCTTCCATGTTTCACGAGGTTAGCAGTTCCTTCTGTAATACTGAGTATGCCATCGCTCCCTCACCACCAGCTCTCAACTCAAAACAACGTATTAGCGTGTTAGGCTCTTTGTGACCTGGCTACAGACTCATGTCTTTCCACTTTTCCTCATTTCAGCACGGAGTTCTATGCCCTGAAGAGCCCAGGCTTCCTTTCACGGAACCCATCCACACAGTCACACTATCTTTTGGTAAATGTTCTTACCATCGGCTCCTTGTCCAGGGTCTGTGCACTGTGAAGGGTTTAATGCCCAGTGTAGCTGACGCTGGAATTCAGCTCGGTCCTCGGTATGGATAAGTTCATACACACTCTGATGTATAACATCAGACTAAAGAAAAAAGATACAAGGAAATAAAACAAAACTACTGATGAAAAAACACATGGATAACTAAAATCATTTCAGAACCTATCTGGATTAGTGGGTGCTGGTTAGTGGTGATGAATGCAAATCGAATGACTGCAAAAGCTGCCCAGTCACCCACGACTGGGAAAGCCACCATGAATGTTTCAGATTATAACTGATCAGCAAGCTACTCGCCACCACTTCCCAACATGAATGCTCTTGCTCCACAGCCACGCTCCGCATTCCTTACTGTACTGTATTAAGATCTAGTTACGTTCCTTGTCCATTTATTGTTGAAATCCTACCTCTTCCATGAATCCCTCCCTGAAAATCCAGTCCTCTATGACTTCTCTAAGCTTATTTATTACATAGTTCCTTCACAGTCTCAAATTTTTCTTTGTATTACATTTTCACTGCCAGTAGAGTCTGTAAGACTAAGGGATCATGCCTTCACCACATCAAAGCCCTTGCCCTTTTCTGCCTCTCTGTGCTTATCACAGTGCTGAGCCCTTAGCTTTGAAATTCGAGTTTTTCTAACTGTTTTAAAACTGCAATTCATGGTAAGAAACATGTTTTTCCATCTATATCATGCACACATATACACATGGAAAAAAGTTTCACAAAATGCTTTCCTTCATTATGAGTGATGACATTGTGTATTCTATATTATTTTATTTGATTTCATCCTAAGGAACTAAAAAGTTTGATGTTTGATCCACTATATCAACTGCATAATTTCCCACTAATGGGTCAAAGCTTGCAGTTTTAAAAATGCTGCTTTAAACTGTCACTCATGTCAGATATATTTTCTTAAACAAACAATATCTAGGCTATGATTATGTGTGAGAAAAAAAAGACAGGAAAATGGCTAATCTTTTCTGTTTTTATAACAGTTAAAACCACATCATATGGTTAACAATTATGTAATTCATTAAAATTCAAACAAGTTTTCTATGATATCAATATATTTTAAAATGCAAAAATGCAAGAAAATTTAAATTGAGGCTTTGTGGTGGTAGCCAGATTCCATTAAATCTCCCTAGGAACTTCATCTTCTACCATGAAACCATTTCTATGGCACCCAATGCCCAGCTGCCAGAATTATCTGAAACACACACTGAAGCACGCGCTGCCCCTGGTTTCTACTGCATGTGTGATGGAGTTAAAAACAGTCTTGAAGTCTCATGCAGACAGTGCTAATCATATCCAGAGCCTGTGGGCTTGTCAGAAATGCAAGTCCATGCCACGCTAAGACCTACTGAACCAGAGCATTTGGGAATGGAACCCAGAGGTTTTAGATTCTTCAGGTGATTCTCACACACATTGCAGCCTGAGAACCAGATATCTAAGAACAGCAAGCACGCTAGTGTACTTACACTCTGTTCTCAAATTATCTCAGGTAATCTCACCCCTCAAATAGGCTGAATACTTTACAGCTCCAAGTATTGGCCCATCATTCACAGATGTTAACCTGAATACATACGCCTCCTTCAAGGAATCCCAGTCTCCTCTCACAGGGCTTCCTGCTTCCTCCTCTGTTCCTTCCTCCACACTTTCTAGGTCAGCTTAAAGATCATTTAAGTGTTTCCCATAAACCACATATATCAGAATTAAAGGTACAAACCATAGAATTTTGCTAGTACTATCTCTTAGTACCTCGTTCATCTATCCTCAGCAATCTAGAAGTCATCCATACGTTTTTTGTCAGTTCTTCTGAACTCAAGGTTCCTTACTATAATTAATTATTCTTAAGTAATAAATGTACTAAGTACATTAATTAATAACCTTATATATGAGTGCCATTATTAAGTAACTAATGTAATAAGACATTAATTAACACAATAATCAGGTGTTAATAATCATACAGACTTAGAGAAATCACAAAGCTGTATGTTAATGTTAGAAAAAATATATTGGCTGCAAATAGATCATTTTTTATTCCACAGCCTATATATTCTGATAATTTATATATTTAAATGTTATGTATATCTGAAGGTATACTATATATCACAAGTAGAAAGTTCATTTTTTGAGAAAAATTTACTGTGAATGATATCAGAAAAATATATTTACCTGCTGAAACCCCAGGTAATCCTGTATAGTAGAAGAAGCATAAAAGACCAAAGCATCTACAGTGACAACCAGTACAAAGCCATTCAGAGCCTAGAGTAAAAAGGTTACAAAGTTAGTAACACAACAATACATTAACCAAAAATAGTGACTCTATCTCTGAAAAAGCTTCCTTTCAAAATGATTTAAATTATTGTACCTCAGACACATCACACAGTCCTGGAGTGAGAAAAACCTATTTACTCCTTCTGCTTTGCCCGCTGGGGTGGGCGCTTCGTCTAGCAGTTACGACACTGGTTAAGAAGCCCATGGCCTGCATCAGAGGGTCTGGGTGCACTCCTCATTCCACCTTCTCATTCCACCTTCCGGCTCGTGCAAACCCTGGGAGGCACCAGTGGCGGCTCAAGTGCAGGTTCCTGCAGTCCACGTGACAGTCCTGGACTGAGCTCTGGGCCAGCTGTTGTAGGCTCTATGGAGCGAGTGAGCCAGCCAATAGGAGCTTCATCTTCCTCCCTCCCTCCCTCCCTCTCTCTATCTTGTTTTCTCTCAAATAAATTAGATTTTTTTTTAAAAAAAGCAACATAAGACAATCTCAGAAATTAAAAAAAATACAACTTACAGCTAAGCCTCAAAGCTTAACTGCAACCACTTTAGCAGAACACAGGCTTCTTCTTCCCCCTCCTGCTTCAGGTGTTCTCCCTTAAATATACTGTATCTATTTTTAAACATAAACTGTATATGGAATGCACTAGAACCTTTCACATTGCTATTTTAGAGAATGATAGTATGTGCGGATGCTGATTACACTCTTTAACAAGAGAAATCTAGATAGGAGACAATTTTTTGTGTGTGTACAGATACTTCATACACTTAAGGAATGCGAAATTGGATATCCTCAAAGTATTCTAAGACGTTTTAAGACTTAATGGAAACAACAGTGTGCACAAACACATATATATGACATTCAAATACACATATAAACCTCCTGCAAACAAATCTGTCCCCTAACATCTAATGCCATTACTAACAGTGTTTTTCTCTCTCAATCTATCCTGCTATCAGTGCTATTTCTTCATTTGTTCCATCTGAAACACCATTCTTTTTCTCTCCCTTTTGCCTGCTTTCGTTAATTATTTTTCTTTTTCTTTTTCCATATCTTTCCTTGATTTAGTTTGAAAGTTCTACCCTCTTTTTCTGTTCTTTCAGTGGTTATTCAAGCTAGTGTTAATTCTCCTTTGCTCCTCTTGGGTAATAATAAACAGATGTGATGCCACTTTTAGTGTTTACTGTTACAAGTTTCCGTTCTATGGGAACTCACTGCTTCCTGCCGGAGCTGATTTTGGTCCTCGATCTATTCTTTGCTATGTGATCATGGCTAAACCTTTCCAAGATTCTCATTTGTCAAATGGATAGACAGTAGTATGGTTTAGTCACACAGATTTGGACTAGACTCCTATCTCTGTCTCTCACTGGCTGTGTGGCTCTGCAAGCTTTGGTGTCGTCACTTCAAAAACTGTCACTTTAAGAGGTGGGTGATGACGCACTGCACTCTGCCCAGCACAGAACTGGCACTCCCTGATGTAAGGTACTACACTGTCAGAGTGTGGAAATGAGCAAAACCTGGTTTATGCGATCATGCTTTGAGAATTATAAGAAGCCACAGAAATAATACTTAGTTTCTGTGACAACCACTTCGACCACAGGTGAGAGAACATATTTCAGTGCTGGGGTCCAGGACTTCATGGAAACTTCAGCCTTGGGCTCGTCAGCTTAGGGAGCACCCGCACTGCAGGTGAGGCAGACAGATTCTCTCAGCTCGCTCCTTCACAGCCAGGATCTCTGGTGCTTCTGATCTTGCCCACAAAGATAATACCTATTCTCCGACAATCTTTCTGCTAAGTGTTTCAGAGTATCCAAGGGGCTGAACTCTCCCAGCAACTCATTGAAGCAGGGCTGTAATCCAGTTTTATAATGGAATAGGAGGTAAACTCACTGTTCATAATATGCTCCAAGGTCAGAGCCAGAGTCAGCCAGGAGGCAAACTCAGAACGGTTCTGTAGCCTCCCCCAGGACCCACGCTGACCCCCCTGCTACACACTGCGAATTGCAAAGTTGGTACCCAGCTCTCTCTCTCTAACCACACCTGCCTTCTCAGGCCCCTGAGGGCAGAAAGCATATGTAGTACACAGAGATTTTGCCAGGATAAAGAGTGGTGAGTCAGTACACCAGGAAGTTGAATGTTTAATGATAAACACATCAAAAATGAGCATCAGTAAATTTTGTTGGCAGTAACAGTAACAGTACATACCCATCATGGTGTTATTTCATCCAAAAATACCTTTTTTTCCTAGAGAATACTATTAGTTGATCATGTTCATATTATTTGGGGAAAGTATTTTTTCAAACAATTGAAAATTCCTTTAGACAAATGTTAATTGTCACAAATAAAATTAAAAACTAAAAATAGTTGCATGTTAATTTTCATACATCAATGCATTTTAAATATGATCTTAAATGATCTTAGAAGATCTTAAGATCTCAAGATGATCCTATATACTGTGAAAAATAAGCTTTTTATTTATGTTAAATTATCTTAGTGAATTAAAAAATGGAGTAAAAGGGGAGTCGGCGCCATGGCGCACTAGGTTAATCCTCGGCCTGCGGCACCGGCATCCCATATGGGCGCTGGGTTCTAGTCCCAGATGCTCCTCTTACGGTCCAGCTCTCTGCTGTGGCCTGGGAAGGCAATGGAGGATGGCCCAAGTGCTTGGGCCCCTGCACCTGCATGAGAGACCAGGAAGAAGCTTTGGCTTCTGGCTTCAGATTGGCACAGCTCCAGCCATTGCGGCCATTTGGAGAGTGAACCAACGGAAGCAAGATCTTTCTCTCTGTCTCTCTCTCACTGTCTGTAAACTCTACCTGTCAAATAAATAAATAAAAAAATTTTCAAAAATTGGATTAAAAAGGTAATTTCATAATCATAAAAGGGATTATCTTTCTTTTAGTCTTAATCACAAAGATTTGCCCATTTATCTAAAAATCATGTTATTGTTCTCTTACTATTTAATATAAAGAAGAAAAGTACAATATTGCTATATGTAATTCTAACTGCTTTACTGAAAAATAAAGTTGCAGTTTTGTAATAAGTATAGTATTAACCCATTAAGTCCTGAGTTTTCAATTCTGTGACTATTTCAATGACATAATATTTATGCAAAGTTTTCATAAGTGGTATATTTAGTTTTTATAGGTGTCCTACACATAGGATGAAGGGACATAAATAAACAGTACCAGTTAGAACCTGCCTGAAATGTATGAAATAAACTATGAAGTACACAGACAATGAAAAGATAAAAAGTCATTTTTATTCTTATAAAATATTAATAAACAAGCTAATGTAGAAACTAAAATTTCTGTTAATGAATTCCTTAACATTTTCTTTATGACCTTTCTTAAGAGCAAAGGGGGATGCACATTTGGCACAGTGGTTAAGATGCTGCATGGAACACCCTCATCCTATATCAGAGTGCTCAGATACGAGTCTCAGCTTTGCTTCTGATTCCAGCTTCCGGTTAATGCATACTCAAGGAGGCAGCAGGTGATGGATCAGGTACTTGGGCTACTGCCACCGACTTGGGAGACCCGGATAGAGTTCTGGGCTCCTGGCTTTGTTAAGCCCTGGCTGTTGCAGGTATTTGGGGGAGTGAACCAGTGGCTGAAAGATCTCTCTGTGTCTGTATCTCTCTCTCTTTCAAGTAAAGTGAAAATTAATAATAAACAATGGTGCTGGCACTGTGGCATAGAGGGTAAAGCTGCCACCTGTGGTGCCAAGGTCCCATATGGGCCCAAGACCTACGGCCCCTGCACCCACATGGGAGACCCGGAAGAAGCTCCTGGCTCTGGATTGGCCCAGTTCCAGCCATTACAGCCATTTGGGGATTGAACCAGTGAATGGAAGACTTTCTCTCTCTCTCTCTCTCTGCCTCTCTGCTTTTCAAATAAATAAACCTTTTAAAAAAATAATAATAATAATAAAAAAAGCAAAAGAAAAGACTTCTTATCACAAGTTCCAGGCCGTATTGCAAAAACATCTTCCACGCTGTAGCAGTAATTGGCTAATAATTTCAGGTAGAAAATACAGCCAGATGCTGTTATGACAACTGTATAAAATGAAATGTGCCATTTCACAGGTGTACAATGTTTTCATCACCTTCTTCATAAAGCGATAACAGATAAAGACAATACTGTGGTCTACAAATGGTATCCAACATGATTCAAAACAGGTGGGTTTACTTTATTCACTTGAGAGGCAGAGTAAGAGAAGGAGATCCCACCTGCTGGTTTACTCCCCACATGTCTACAATGGCTGGGGCTGGGAACCAGGACCATAAACCAAGTCTCCATGTGGGTGGCAGGAACCCATCTGCCTGAGCCATCACTGCTGTGCCTGAAGGCCTGCATTAGCAGGAAGCTGGAGTCAGGAGCAGAGCCAGGAAAACAAATCCTGGTACTCTGAGGCATGAAGCAGATGGTTCTAACAGAAGTCTTAACCAAAAGCCAAATCAACGCACACACCCCCAAGGTGCTTTTATTATAACTACCTCAAGACTTACAATTTCCAGATAATTTAAAATTTAATTTAAAAACTCTAGCTTTGCATTAGTACATTTTTATTCTGCATCCTTGACTAAAGATATGTACGCAGTTTGTCTCAATCACTGGTCCACAATTTAGCAACTGTTATGTCCATCAATTCACAGTTGTCTATTTTCAATTGAAATAAAGGACCACCTGACTACATAACCCAATAAGTGTATAATCACATAAAGCAGCAATCATTAGAATTTTTCCTATGACCTGAATAAAGAGTCATTTTTTTAAATATATGCATAAAGATTTGCAGCTGGAGCTGAGGGGAGGACTCTTGCTTGAATATATTCAATTTTTTAACATAATAGAAATGGTTAATTTCTGTTATCTGGAGTTTAAACATAATTGCAGAATCATAATAAAAACATCAAAAATTATTAGTCTAAACTTCAGTATTCACTGAAAGAATTAATGGAGCTAATAAAACTTGTGGTTACTTCCCTCTACCTCTTTTCAACAAAATAAATAAATATCTGAAAATGTTGCATGACAATCAAGTGTCAGTTCTAAGAGAAAGACAATAGAGGAAAACAAGTATTCAAAATGCTTTTACAGAAAAATCTATTAGAAACTCTCCAAGTTCTCCAAATGTACAGGACTAACAATAATTGAGAAAATCTGCAGCCTGTAAGTTTCTCCCAGGTGCTTAAATAAAATGTAAGATAAAATATTGGAGAAAAAAATTCTGCTTAAAAAGAATTTTTAACTAGTAAGTAAATATAACTATTTTAACTGAGCTGCATTTCTGCAAAAAAGTATATACAAGTTCAATACCTTAAATGGAAACTTTACACTAATCTAAGAGTCATTGCTATATGAAGAAATACAACAGGGTTGATGATTAAACCCTTAATTAGTCTACTTCGTGTAACACAATTTCTTCACATTACATCTTTATTGTAGTTCAGGTAAAAGTGGCACTGGACATGAGATGGCTCTAGTTTTCTTTTTCTATTTACATTTGTTCTTTCAAAGAATCATACTCACTAAAATTTACCTGCAGTAAGAATTCTCCCTCTTGCAAGTTCAGGCCTTCTCCAAACTTTGCCCTGCAGGGATCCTGGCCTCCATTTCTGTCCGCAGAGGAGGACTTTAATGCAACTATGGGAAAAAATGGAAAGACACGTGAGATAGTAGAGCAGATCTTAAAACAAGCAACGTTAAAGGACTGAGACAGAAAACCTCTGAACACAGGGGCAAAAAGACAACTTGAAATAATGGCGTTCACTGGTACTGTAATGACCAGGTAATCCTTTTGCCAATGATGGTTTCCAACTCTGTGCTAACAATAAAATTGAAGCAAGATGTCAGCTGATGCTATCAGAGACAACTTTTGATGGTTCACTCTGATTTTTACCACACAACTTAGAAGTTTCTAGTAACAGTGCTGCTACGAACTCTTCCCTCCATTTCCAGTCTACTTCCCACACTACAGTTCCCGAGAACGCGACCTTTAGAAGGGTCTGAAGGTCTGCAGAGCTGTATCTGAGCTTCAGGGACTAGCAATGGTGAGGAGCAACAATCAACCACACACCTCACTGAGAGATACTTCTACCACATTGAGAATTCTCTTGTCTAGTTTTTGGGTAAAAAACTGCCAATGCTGTTATTAGGCTCATGTTAAATTTATAAATCAACAAATGGTTCTTTCCAAGAATGTTTCACCACTGGTTCAAGTCTATCATTTTGTCATACTAGCTTGTGAGTCACATCTCCAAATAGTTAATTGTGATGGTCTCTATCCTCTCTCAAGGTGTGCATGCACACGTGTGTGTGTGTGTGATGTACTTACAGTCTGGGAGGCAGCACAGCTAAACAGAAATAACAACAGTTACCATTTACTTAGTTAAGCATTTTGCCCAGCACTTTCAAATACGCTCTCATTTTTAAGCATGTGGATATTGGTGTTGGACAGAATTGGGTTCAAATCTTAGTTCTGCCATTTACTAAATGTGTGCACTCCTCGAGCTTGTTTCCTGTTAACTGAAGTGGAAACCAAAAAAAAAAAAAAAAAAAAAAAAACCAAAACCAAAACCAACAAACAAACAAAAAAAAAACAAAGCCAACTCTGCAAGGTTGTTACAGAGTTTAGAGAACATATGTGAAGTGCCTGGCACATGGCACATCAATAGTTCAATAAAAAATAGCTTTAAATCTTAGCCATAGGGGCCAGCGCTGTGGCGCAGCAGGTTAACTACCTGGCCTGAAGCGCCGGCACCCCATGTGGGCACCGGTTCTAGTCCCAGCTGCTCCTCTTCCGATCCAGCTCTCTGCTATGGCCTGGGATAGCAGTAGAAGATGGGCCAAGTCCTTGGGCCCCTGCATCCATGTGGGAGACCCAGAAGAAGCTCCTGGCTCCTGGCTTCGGATCAGCGCAGCTCCGGCCGTTGCGGCCATCTGGGGAGTGAACCAGTGGATGGAAGACGTCTTTCTCTGTCTCTACCTCTCTCTGTAACTCTTTCAAATAAATAAATAAAAAAAAAATTAAAAAAAAAAAACTCAGCCATAATTCCCAGAGGTTAATGACTGTCTTACTATGTAAGGTATGAACATCTAGATACCTTCAATTTTTTTTTATTTTTATTTTTTGACAGGCAGAGTAGATAGTGAGAGAGAGAGACAGAGAGAAAGGTCTTCCTTTTGCCATTGGTTCACCCTCCAATGGCCGCCATGGCTGGCATGCTACGGCCAGCGCACCGCGCTGATCCGAAGGCAGGAGCCAGGTGCTTCTCCTGGTCTCCCATGGGGTGCAGGGCCCAAGTACTTGGGCCATCCTCCACTGCACTCCCTGGCCACAGCAGAGAGCTGGCCTGGAAGAGGGGCAACTGGGACAGAATCCGGTGCCCCGACCAGGACTAGAACCCGGTGTGCCGGTGCCACAAGGCGGAGGATTAGCCTAGTGAGCTGTGGCGCCGGCCTGATACCTTCAATTTTTATCTCTCAATTTCTGTGATCTCTTTTTAATCTAGGATATTTAAATAGGGGAAATTAGTAAACAAAACCATCTTGGGCCAGTCCTTTTAAGACTTCTTATTTCATTGTGTTTATAGATCAAAATAATCTGCCTCCGTGAAATACAAGATTCACTAATCACCAGTTTTCTCTCAAATTGAATAAAGCATCCCATATAAAACATTTTCGTGTTTGCAGTGTATTTTCTGGTAAATCTTCAGAGCATGTGTCACACCGGGACTTTATGCCAAGTTCTAGCTGTCGTTGAAGTGGAAAGATTTTTCTCTAAAGAGGAGGCCAGAAATATGGCCTCTCAATATGATAATTTTAAAGGCCAGAGAACAGATTTCCTTAGGCCAAAAAATGGCTTGAGGTAAATTGATCCAACAATTAATCATGTCCAGAGGAAATATCTAATGTTTTCTGACCGAAAGGTAGGAGCAAGAATGGCCTTTCTTTCCATTTCTATTCTGTATAATGTTGTTCCTTCCTTCCTTTTTAAAAAAGAGTTTTGATTAACACGCATTATTTGTACAGCTTTACGCAGCACAGTGCTATATTTCAACACATGTATACAACACAAAGTGTTCAAGCCAGGTCATGAACATAATCGACATTTCCTGGTCTTTTCTCCATGCTTTGTGCCTATGAGCTCCTCTCTCCCAGCTTTTCACACAGAGAAGAACATCTGACGGTGAGCTGCGGTCATCCCACTGTGCTGTGTAACACCAGAACTTGTTATTCTATATTTTTGGTGCCCATTACCCAACCTCCCTTCTTTGTCTCTGGCTATCACTAAGCACCTTTTAAAACTTCCACATGAGTGAGAACACACAGCATTCTTCTTTCTGTTTCGGGCTTGCTTCACAACAATGACCTTCGGCTCCATTCATTTTGCTCCAAATGACAGAATTTCGTTTTTTATGGCTGAATAATATTCCACTACACATACAAACATTTTCACCCATGTATGGACATCTTACACGCACTAAAACCTCAGAATGTCAGGGTTAATTACACTCTGCTACTTTTCCAAAAGCTCCAGTATAGGTATAGTTTCTGTTATACTGAAAAATCATTAAGACTTCCTAGTAAAAAGAAAAGAACAAAGCCAAAACATGTACATTGCTTGCCATGTAAAAAAAAAAAAAAAATAACCTGAAAGAGGCATATAACAACAGTATCATATTTTAAGTGCCTAAAATTAACATGAAGCAGCTCTTAAAATTAAGTTTTAATAAATGGAACTGGAGTTAATCCCAACTAGAGAACCTGATAGGAGAAAAGACGGAGAGATAACATCTTGACCACTGGTAAGCTGAAGAAGTAAGAGACATCATTCATCGCAGAGTAACTGGTGATTTCTCTTTGAACTTATCTTGGAGTTATGAGACAATATAAGTAGGCAGTAGACAAACACTGCTTTTTAGTAGGAAATTTAATCTATGCAAACAAGGAACAGGAAAAAAGTGTAAAAAAAATTAAGTACCAGATGGGATTTAATTACAGTACTAAAAGAACTTAAAGGAAAAAATAGGAACAAATTCCTTCTAAATGACGATGCACAGGATTGTAAATAGTTGCAAGGGCAATATTTAATACATTAACTACTTCATTAAATATTGCAAGAAGTGCATTTTGGGCAATGATCACCGAAGGGTCTACGAAAAGCAAATATTTCTGTTGCTCTTGTATCTAAGGTCAATCACTGGTAAAGGATTTAAGTAAATATTATGCAAAGATGTGTCCAGGAAGGGTGTGTTCCCTTCCCAGAGTCATCTAAAACACACTACTGTGCCTGCTGAGAAACTCACTTTATGCTCCGGCCTTACCAGACTATGTAATGTTTTACCTTTCTGTGAAGTTTTCTATTTCTTGGTCTCTCACCAACTACCACTCCCTTCTTAGAATTACCAGAAAGTATATTACTACCACTTACTTGTGCTCATGCATTGCTTGCCCTGATTAGAAAGCAGTGACAAAGAAGGAAGGTGCCATGTGACACTATCACATCTCTACCGCCTGGGTGACTTTCAATACATGATTTTCACAATGCTGTGTGGTACTGAGCACAAACTGCAGACCCAGCATTGCCTAGGCATGACGGTGTTATTTAATCTGCAGAACAGCCCTATGACGTCAGCACGGAACACATGAAGAAACTCAGTTAGGGGAGGTTAACACACGTCCCCAGGGCCAGAGTTTTAAGTGGCAGAACTTAGATAAAAGCACAGGGAGCCTGATGCCAACATGTGAGCTGTTATGAACTGCCTCCTGGACTCCTCCACTATATTATCCACCTCTGACCTCTAGTTTCCTCATCTTCAAGTGAGGACAACACCAGCCCTTGAGACAAATTCTTATGAGGGCAAAACACCGTGTGGAGTACCTGAGTAGTCTGGAATCAATCACTGACAGTCAAGGGCAAAGATAATAAACAATGTTGAGTTTACACACTCTCAAGTCATCACAGACAGCTTGAGATAAAGGTGCACACCAGGGGTAAACTTAGTTTTCCCACTTTTACATAGAAGTATTAATGATCAAGTATCTAGCAGGACTGTTCTGAGGACTAAATGACACGGCGTTGAAAGTACTTCAAAACTGCAAGTTGTTATACAAATTTCATGCATTAATTATCAGATATCTAGAACACTTTAAACACTGCATCTCAAGAATTAAATGCACAATTCAGAGAAACAAAGTATAATCTCTGAAAACAAGTCATCAACTGATTCTGCTACTTAGGGAGCATGTGCTGTGCTGTAGCAGATACGTGTTACAGTCTCCTCCACCAGCCAGGAAGCACCACTTTCCAAAGCCCAAGGACTTGACTTTGAACATTTAGTGGAATGTCAAAATAGTAAACCACAGTGTGTTTCCACTATCTGCTCACTGAGAGGCCTATAAAGCAACCCCACAACACAAATAAGAAGTTAATCTAATCAGTGACAGGATTTAGAGTGTAAACATATCATATTCTAGATGATTCCAGCCTATTCCCACTTGCATTTAAACATACTCATGTTTCCTAATATGGAACTTTCATTCCTTATATATTTAAGCTCAGAGGTCCATTTCTCCCTACATGCCAAATATTTCTTCTTCAAAAAAAAATGCTTTAAATTGTTCAAGATTGAAAATTCATG